GCCGCCTCGCTCTTTTCCATGCTTGCCCTTTCCCATGGCCTTCGGGCCAAGCGGCGTCACCCCAGACTCCCGCTGACCACCGGCCTTGAAGAGGGACTCCATCATGTTCTGCATCATCGTCTCCATCATGGTCCTGAGCATGCTCATCACCTGCTTCTGCGCCGCTGGCCCAAAGAGAGCAGCAAGATCGAAGGGCGCCTGAGCGCCAGGCTGTGCCGGCCCTTGCTGCTTGAGCTTGCGCTTGCGCTTCGTGACATACGATCCCCAGGGCGAAGGTCCTGGGTTCTGAGCTTCACCAATCCTTGCCCCAAGCAAGGCGTTATGCTGGCCCGTGTCAAAGAACAGACCAGCCAAAGCGTCGAGGATCTTCGCGCCAAGGCACCGAATGCCCTGGTCCGCATCCGCCAAGCGCGGGTTCGCGCAGGGGGCGTCCTCATGGATGCGAATGCCACCTGTAAGAGAGCCTGAGGCGGATGCCCGACGAGCCGTGCTCATCCGGAGCACCTAACTGCTAGAGCCATTTGGGAGTTTCCGAAAATAAGGGATACCTTAACTTGGGGTCCTTATAATCAGGATCCTACTATTTAGGGTGCTATATTAGTTTAGGGTCCTTTATTTTCGGAAACCCCCCAGGCCCAGTTCAACCCTGAACCCGAAACCCTTTTGGGAACTGTGAGCTCTGGTTCCCTGGCGGGAAGGTCGGGCGGCTTCAGCTGGCCACGGAGTTCCTCTCTGAAGGGCCCGGTCGAGGATTTGAGCCTGACACCTGCTCCTTGACAGTTACTTACGGGATGCAGTAGCATCTCTATTTCTGAGGGTTTCCTTCAGGGTTTGTGCGTACGTCTTACAGTTTTTGACAGGTCGAATCGTACTTCTGAGGTGTTGACATCAACGGGCTTTGAAAGTACAACAGCTCATGCCTCTACTTGCTGCGTACCGGTGGTCCGCCTAGACTCCTTCTCGGAGTTTGAGGGTGTCTATCTGCCTGTGCAGTCCGCATAGAGTTACACTATGATATACGTACCCAAGACGCTATCCTATCCAGGAGGACCCCACCTGCGTCTATAGTTGGCTACTTCTTCCCCTATACTGGGATCCCAATGCTAGACTAGATAGAATGGGGTCGACATTCTCTAAAACCGTTAACCGGACAGGTGTTTATAAGGCTTCATGTGGCGACTTCTGAAGATGTGGAGATAAAGGGGCAGGAGCGAACACTCAATGTAGACCCTTTCCTTATAGAGACCTGGATCCCAAACGGTTTAGGGTTTAGGGGCCAAGTAAGTATAAGAACTGCAAAAACCGGCGGTGGTTTATCAATCAGGTGGCTACAGTACACAACAGGGGTCCGATGTTGCAGATAAGGGGTCTCAGTTTCGGTGCACTCCACTAAAAAACCCTAAACCCTTAAAACCCTGAACCCCAAACCCTAAGACCCTTGTGGGCTTTGATCCTTAGCTATGCGAGAGGGAAAAACCCTAAGACGCAAAATAATGAATCCTCCCTAAACCGAAACCCGAAACCCTAAACCCCCAAACCCTAAACTGCCTAAACCCTAAACCCCTAAGCCCTAAATCCATTGGCCACCGCTGAAGTGTCAGCACCCACCCGTGTAGGTTATGCTATGGTTATATTTGGAATGAGCGGTTGTGATGGGGTGTGTTAACTTGTCTTTTGGTGTGTTATAAATGTTATGTTATGTATGTATGCATGCAAGCACTTCCACGCTTGAGAGGCGGCTTGGTTTGGTTCGACTTAGCATCAGTTGATGGTAAGTAATTTTACTGCCTTAAGACATGGAATGTAATTCGTGGGTACAGTAGATATGACATTGTAATGCCACACGGATTTTGAAGGGGCAAGACTACTAACTGTTATTGAGACCTCTGTATATCATGGCTATTGTTTGAGTGCTTTGTGCGGTTGTGGGCTTTGGGCGATTGGCCTGAGGCTTGAGAGGACAGGTAGAAGAAGGCTCAAAAAAAACCTAAACCTTGTGCCTTAAACTTTCAACCCTAAATCCTCAACCTAAGCCCGGTGGACTGCTGAACACTGCATTTTGCAACCGAATGCCATTTGCTTTTTGTGGCTCGCAGCGCCGGGTGAGCTCAGCCCTAAGCAGTCCATACTATCCTCTCCGACGTTGGAGATCTCAGGTTTTGAAAGCGAAACTGAAAAAGGAAGGGCGGGGGGGGCGAATCTCGGAACTTCCAGCCTGGAGCCGAGGCCCGAAGCTTTGAACCCTGAAAGCCTAAGTCGTCTGAAGGCCTCCACAACCCAAATCCGTCGCAGCCCTCGCAGACACGAAAATCCGTGAGGAGAGCCCTTCCAAACGCCGCCTCCAGGCTCCTACAACATCATCATGGGAACTCTGGCGCGGGAGCCAGAGAGGTGCCCGCCCCCCCCCCACTCATAGCCTCCTGTTTAGGAGTTGGGGGTTTAGGGTTTAGGGTGATTCGCCACGAGTGCGATCCAAGGCCAAATGTAGTTCATAGCGAACCTATCCTTTGATCTTAGAACACCTCTGAATGTTAAATTCGCGGCAGGTTACGGGGTACAAGATTCCTTTGGAATAAACTCCGCGGCAGTTAGACCCAAAGCTTGACCCCTGCATTCCCAAACTCATTTGTACGAGCCCCTTCTGCACCGAGATCAACAAACAGTAGACTTACTCAAAGACTATACCAAGTAACCCGAAAAAAAGTTACGCGGAGTCTGCACTCTACTCAGCGATTGGCCCCTCAGCTCCCGTGTGTGATCCTGGTGACTGACCCTGCAAAGCTGCATGTTTTAGTTGAAATGAAGCAGCCGCCCTCGTTGCAATTAGCACAACCCTCAAACCTGAAAGCCTCGTAGGCCCTAGTCCTAAGAGCCCTAAATAAACCCCTAGAGCCCTACACCCTAAACTTAGAAACTCTCTTCAGCAAGAGGCCTCAACTTTGTAGACTTTTCTAAAGGTGCGATGTGGTCCTCGAGATCCTCGAGGCATGTCGCCGTGGAGGGCGCCTCAGGAGTGTAAAGCAGGTCTTTGTAGTACCCTTTTACGCGGGCTGGTAGCCTGTCGGTAGTAGTTAGGGGGTCACTGCACCTTTTTGGGGGGGAGAAGGGGGTTATGATGCATAGTGCCCTTCATCAACCCCTCAAACTCACAGCCATGCGAGTTTGCAAGGAGGGAATAACCCGAGATTGCAGTGCACAAGGAGACGCCACCGATGGCAGTCACGGATGGATGGAGCTAGAGCGCAGACGGCGAGAGCCTCCACTAAGAACACGTAGCAATGCCGTCTTTCGCATCATCATCATTATCGTCACCGTCATCATCCTGACCAACATCAACATCAGCAACACGAGCTGTCGCTATCTTGGTGAAATGAGAGGAGTGATATCAGCAGCAGATAGGATAGCATCAACACAGCCAATGTTAGAAGTCATGGTCAAGCATGCCAGAAACAGACAATTCAGTAGACCCCTGCTGTCTAAGCCTAAGCCGTACTCAGCTGTTCATGGCTTTCATGAACCCAACGGTCATGGGTCTGAAGACAGGCGTTTCGATTGTTTAGTATAGTCCCCCTCCGGCTACACCCCAAAATTATCCACCATGCACACTACTAACTCTATCCCCTCAAACCCCCAAGCCCCAAACCTTAAGCCAAAACCTGAACCCTGCGAACTGCCAGGCCTCAACTACCACACTCTACAGTAGACCTTGAACCTGACAAACCTTCGTGTCCAGAACACCGGAGATGTTAGTCTAAAGCCATATATGCTAGCATCAACAGTCGTAGCACCAACGTTAGCCGACACCCAAATAAATAAGCAAGATCACAAGACCTATAATACTCGTAAACGCCGATACTGACAAGAACGACAACAAGAGCAACAGTAACATGAAGAATAATGACTAGTGATAACGAATTATGATCATTAGTCATTACTCATTATCCTTTGTCATTATCATATTAAGAATACTACAAGAGCAACAGTCTTATTAAGGATACCTGAGGAGCAACAGTATCATGAAGAAGAAACAATAATAATCATAATCATAATAATCATAATCATAATCATAATCATAATAATCATAATCATAATAATAATAATAACAATATGTCACTCCGACCGATGGCCCTTCCTGCCGAGGCACCCAGCAGCAGCGGCTTGCAGGAGCCGCAGCCTCCGACTTCGCTGGCTTCCTCAGCAACCCGGGGTGCCACGATGCAGCTCAGTGCTCAAGTGCTCCAACACCAAGTGCTTTCTAAGTGACGCTGCTGTGCCCTGCCAAGTGAAGGCACTTCAGTTGGGGATGGGGAGCAAACTGGCGGACTTCCAGGGCCTTGCGAGCAAGAGGTGTTTTCCGGGTCTCAGAAGCGTCAGAGATTGCCAGAGACTCCTGCAGCTGGGTCTGTGGATTTCGCGTGCCGGTCGTCTCGCTGTCGCAGGACTCAACAGTTCCGACCCGCTTCGGCCACTGGTGTGCGCTTGTTTACGTTCTGTCTGGAGCACTATGTCCTGGTACTTCCTGGCCTGATAGGCACCTGGGCAGGCACGCGGCGTCCAGCAGGCTTGAACAAGGCACGGTAGCGCGTGGATGTGAACAGATACAACGAAACCCGCTGTTCCTGCGGCCCCGACTAATGAGCTTGCAGCCTTCCGAGAGGATGAAGCAACCCACTGGGCCAACGATTGCCAGAGCCCAACCAAAGACACCTCAACTGCTCTGCCGATCACAGCTTTTGCGGCCACGGCCTGCGCTGGATAGCCATCTGCAACGGGGCAATAAACGCTCGTGATCGTGTGGGGTGGCTGCATGGGCTGGTGAGCGGTAGCCTTAGGACCTTAGGACCTTTGGACGGAAACGAGAGCCCTAATCCCACAAGGATCTGGGGAAACGCGCAAACGCTCCTGAGCAGGCGACCAATATCGAGACCTCGCAGTCCCAGAATCTTGTCGGAGAGATACGGAATCAGAACAGCCTTGGGTGACGATCTGGCACATTTTGTTCAAAAGTCCAGTCTGACAGGTCATGAGCAGCCTTTGTGCACCGCACCATGAACCACTCCTCTTTCCAGAGTCTTCCACGTCCGTCGAAATGATATACACTTCCTGAAAGTCTAACCTTACAACCCATGTTCGAAGTTTCAAAGTGACTCCGTACAGGCAGATCTGAGCGAGGACAATCGCCTTCTGCATCTCCTGCCCACGAGCAGGTATGTGCGTCCGTGCCATCTGAGCACAAGACACAAGGTTGCCGCGGGCACGCTGGTGCGAAGCAGGGAAGCCTTGTTTCCAAGGATGTCGTGCCACATCGGATTTGTGAAGGAGCGGGAGATGTAAGCGCGGATGTTCTCAGACCTGTGAAAGGAGCCAGTTGCTTGCGCCATAGTATATTTCAGAAAGTGAACGAGAACATGGTAGACTTGACGGCATGGAAAACTCGGCACGGCTCCAAACCAACGAGATGAATGCCACCGTCTGGGCCAAGCTCAACCTCAGTGGCAGTATCAAGCAACTGCACCGACTGCATGGCCAAACACGTGCAACTCAGCAGCTTCTTCTCGTAACCTGCCATAGCACAGGGCTGCTGAGCTCGCCAGACATGAGGGAAATCGCTGAAATCACAGCACGTCAGCCAACTGGCAGACCTCCTACGAGCGCAGCACCGGCCTTCTAGCAAGTAAATGTTTGCTTGCAGAAACTCGCCCTCGCAGAAGTGCATGAGCGAGATCAAGTACACGGCGACAATCACCGTCTGACAAAGGGCATGCGATCTCGATCGCAAGATTGAACTTGGGGAATGGGCACTGCATGCACATACTGGCACAAACTGTAACTATACTAATTGCCAATGACAGGCCCTTGCAGCCGCGGGTCTGTCAAGACCATGCCATTCATGACCATGGCCAGCCACATCCTGGCTCCAGCTACGCAGTTTTGAAGTTGGGGGAAACCCCACGGCGCAAAACCATCCAGTGCACGCGAGTCGCCAATTCAGCACAATGGGCTCGTCCTGACAGCAGGTAGCAGTGCGCAGGAAATCGCACGCAGGACTTGAGCACAGTCTCGCCTTCGGGCGCGGACGCATCTTCAGGATGTTAGCCTCACCTTGGGCTCTAAGGCTCGCGGCTTCAGACTACAGAAACCACAGACACTGCCGGCTCCCCTTGGCCTGGCTCGACGCCCAGGGCAATGGAAGGAGGCAAGTCCGTGACCAGAATCAAGAACAGGATCTGCAGAGGCGTTCGCATGACCTGCGTAACATGCGAGCTTGCAAGGGCACAAGTTGAAGAAGCAGTAATTGCTTTAGCAAGAGGGCTTGAAAAGACATTCCACTTGGCTTAGCCAAAACACGGGGATGCCCACCACGATGCAGATGAAGATCTGCATCACCTTGAGGGGCTTGCATACACCCGCATGGTGAAATTGTGGATGCAAGTCCTGGCGGCACAAGCCTCCGCAATGTGCACCGACATGATGAAAGCCACGAACTTCTGAATGCCAGCATAGATGGCACGCCCCTTTTCCACCTCACACAACGAGTCTCCGCGTGGTGTGATGTTGCAGGCAAGCGCACAGTCCAGCTTGTAAAAAGCCGCAAACGCTTCACACATACAGAGAGCTCTCATCTAAGAACAGGGCAGCAGCCACGATGGAACAGAAGTTGTCATCCGTCAAGATCCTCAGCTCCATATCTTGCGGAAAAGAGCAGCCTGCTTGGCGGGTCTTGCGGCTTGCTGCCATCTGCAGGCAGAGATTAGCCGAAGCTCATGTCGGAGGCACCCTTTGCCACCTCTGTGCCTTGGATACCCATGGCCACGCCAATGTCGGCTTGATTCAGCGCTGGGGCATCGTTGACCTTGGTTCGGGACATTGGCGTTGGAAGTCGCATTTCGCAACAAGCAGCGAGCACTGAAACGAAACTCAATCTGAGCCATGGTGCTCCGTCACCTGTCATCGCCGCCACTTGACCTTGAGGTACGGATACTTAGCACCACCCCAGAATTCACTTCGCCCGGCTGGCCTTGTCTTTGGATGCTCTTGACAATCTCCAGCTTATCCTGTTGTGAAAGGCCCGAGGAAACATTGCACAATCCGTTTTGGCATTAGCCATGGAGGCCAAGCTGACTGTGGGACCTCTGGCTTGGCGCGGGCGAAGACTCGGACAGAACCTGTCAGTTTGTCCATCTCCTGTCAGGAACGACAAGCCGCCAACAATCTTGCCGCAAGTAGGTGAGTGATTTAAACTTAAACCCCGCCCTGAGCACAAGCACAAGCAGATGCAATTCTGCTCAAAATTTATTGGCTCCTTGGAATCCAGGTACTCGCCATCTGGACGTAGGCAGGCACAGTCAACTGCCGAAACATCGGGATCATCACAGGGCTGGAGAATGTTGACCTCACGTGGGTTTTCCATGGTTGAAGCTGCAAACCACTTTCATGGAATGTGCTGACTGGCGACGTTCTTGGCAATAGCAATTGCCGTAAGGAGATAGTCACCTGTGATCATGACCTGAGGATCTGCAAGTTTACAGCAAGCATTCTCGCAGTAGAACTTAGTCACAGAGGGGAAGGAAAGGCTGGCAGAATCTTGTTGCACGACAGAAGCACCACGCGAATGCCCGCACCACGAGCTGCGAGGACAGAATCGGGCACGCCATCGCCTGGGAAACAGGAGGCCGAGGACAGCGTCCCGTGCATTCCGGTGCCCAGGTGAACATGAATTCTCAAGAAGTCTGCCCCTAGCCAGTGTGCAGACGAGCCACGCTCGGGATCGATAGACGCGACCAGTCCAATCAAGCGCAGCTGTTTTCGGCAAGCTTCGAACTTCTGGTCCGTGGAGATCTCGGGGCTTAAACAGTCACTCCGATCGCACGTTCAACCCCGAGCAAGTCCTGCTACTGTAATGTCAAGCAAAATTCAACATCAATGAATTTGCTCCCAATCCAAGATGCATCCTCATTGTTCTCGTCATACCTGAAGACGAAAGCCAAATTTCACAAAAGCAATACTGTTACACAGCAAAAAGGTACTGTACGACTGGGGGGAGATGCGTCCTCCTCATACAAACTCCACCAAGCAGCGGAAGCGAGCTCATCGGTCGAGCAGCGATGGCCAGGACTCGAAGAGCACGTGCAGAATATCCTTCCGGACGGCGGAAGCAGGTGGGGTAAGTTGGGTTCCCAAGCGCAGAGTCTTGCTTCTGCTGGGGCTGGTGCCGTCCACGATCTTCAGGATCTCCTTCGGAGGAAGAGGGCCAGCAGAAGACTGTGGAGTGTAGGTACAAGACTCAAGGCTAGGACCCAAAGAGGAACAGTATCTCTCTCCTTCTTGTCATCTTCCGTCAGTTTCGCTACACCTTAGCAGCTCGGGCCTGAAACCTTAAACCATGACACACGATTCGGGCCGGGTCGCTGCCATCCTCTTTCAGCTGTTCGGAGCAAAGGTCAATGATGTAATTTGGTGCCTGGCACTCCACTCATTCCACTCGTGTCCGTGCCAAAGCCCGGGAAGCTTCTGAGGGCCCGAACCCCCTTGCACACAGCCAAGTAGTTGGTGCCTGCGTCACCACGTGCTTCCCTCCAAACTCACGAAACTTCATCAGCATGTCTCGCGATTCACAAGGAGGCCTGCTGGCAGCGGCATTCCACCGGGGCAGATCTCCGTGCCCTTCACGCGAGACACCGTCAGCCTGAGCCCACGCTTTTTGACAGAAGGGCGGCCGGGGCCCCGCCAAGGAGCCAGGGCGATGCTGCGCAAGCGAGTCCAAGGAGCATCATCTTTCGCGAGGAGGAGAAAGGCACTTCCAGAACGCGTGGGTATTCGCCTTAGCCACAGTCTGCAGATAGGTATTTTGTGGATGTGGGATAGATCCCTGCGACTAGGATGATTGGGAGTCGGATGGCTGGCAATGGTCTCCGACAAGCCCACTTTGCGGGCAGCCACGACGATCGGCGCCTCGGAGGAGTTGCCCTGGCAGCGAAACACAGCTCACGGCTCAGCGTGGTCAAGAGTGCGACTTACCATCGGTAGATTGAAACGGATAGCAGTCGGCCAAGCAAGGCATCACATGTTCGTGCCGCACTTGCCCCACTGCCAAAGTCGTCAGAAAACTCCCAAGGCTTCATTGTTCGAAGATGTGCCCGCAATCCATGTTGTCCGCATGCCGTTCTGTTCCTACCAGCACCTGCTTGAATTGTTGCATGCAGTCTATTCAAGGGCCTTCGGTGTCCACTTCATCACTCCATCCTCGTCCTTCTCTTTCGAGAGTGTCGTGTTGCAGCACAATATGGCCTTATCAAGCAGCTGTTGCCGTCCAGCTATGAACTGAGCAAAGTCTTGCTTCATTTCTCTTCGCTGAGATTGTGGCCGCCAGCAGGTTGCTCTTCACGCCTCAAAGAGTAGAGCAGGCAAAGCAGGCAAAGCAGTGCCGTCACATCCGCTCCCAGCCGAGCTGCCCATGTCCTTCCCGCTGTTGGCCGTGGTGCCGCTACGCTGCACCTGGCCAACCTGCGACAGCGCACATCGCACATCATCGCACTCAAGACGAACTCATCAAAGACGGAAGAGCCCATTGGATCTTGCAGGACCATGCCAAAGCACGGCCAATGTCCCATACACTTTCTGCGCAGTTCTTCAAGTGCCTCCGGGTCAAATCCCTTTCCCGTCACGTCATAGGTCACGCCCGCGGTGTACATACCAACCATGGTCATCTTGCCTGCGCCAGCTGGCACAATAGAAATGAACCGCAGGGCAAGGAGCACAAGGAGCCTGCCTTCCGTCAGCGTTCCCGTCTTGTCACTGCAGATGACGGAAGCCGAGCCCAGAGTCTCCACGGCTGCAAGCTTGCGAACCAGCACTTCCTGGTTCACCTCAATGAATTAGAAACGAGCACCGTACAACAGCACATGGCATGCACTGGCTTGTGCTTGTGTGACCAGTATGCTCGGGCACCGGCCATGTCCTGGGTAGCACATTTGCAGATTTTGCAGGGGTTTGTAGACAGTGTTGCTTAAGCGCTAACGACCGGGTCTTATCGAATCAACTCTGCAGATTGTGGTAGCCGGGTCTCCGAACATCCGATTGACCTTGCAAGGGCATGGAAGGGCCATCTCAGCAATCGCCATCTTAAAATTTGAAACGCACACTCTCTCTTAGCAAAGTTCACTGTCCGAGGCACAGCGAGATGGTCACGCAGAGCGGGATGCCCTCTGGAATGGCAGCCACCGCCAGGGTAACGGACACCAGAATCATGTAGAGCCACGCCTGGCAAGACAAGTCAAGTGACTTGCCTGGGCTTGTAGGGATGGCCTGCAACAGCCGCGACTGCAACTTGCCGGCGAGGGGCAGCACTGTCCGGATTGGCGGGGTCTTTGCGGTCAGTAACCCAAC